TATCTTGATTACTTGAATCATATGAACACTATGATCATTAGGTTTGTATGAATGAGACTTTGATCATAAGCTTAGGGTTAGGTAATATTAATCAGTGACTTTAACTGTGTTAGAGAGCATTAGATATCCATGTTATGCTTAGATTGATTGTCATGATCATTGACAAGAAATCACTAGATCATATCGTTCATAGTTCAATTATATTTAATTAATTATGTGTTCACTAATTGCATGATCATTGTGTTACTTTTTCATTAATTACTAATACTAGGGAATCCAACCAAGATAACTATTCACATTAAAACTCAGTAATCAACTTATTAATCCATTGCACGTCTAATAAATTAAGCACAAAAACTTGGGGATTTGTATTCTAGTGGAAGTACTTCTTGTCTATTATTTCAGTTTAGTTCTTTAGTTTCGTTTGATTAATAGAGCGTTAAAACAAGTTAGTTATTTTAACAACAAAAATCTCTATTTTTATTTTTCTGTTATTAACTTAATAACATTTGAATTATTTGATCTAAACCATTCTCGTTCCGCTATGTTCGATGCTCTTTCTTACCTTAAATTATATTACTTCACGACTAGGTACACTATCTATTTATGTTTAAGACTAGTTAAGATTTGATAGGACTTTATAAATAAAAATCAGTGCATAAATAAAGCACATCAATTTATATAATTGATTTTTAAAACAATAGTTTTATAAATAATCAATATTAATTTTATTAAAATAAGAAAAATTTAATGATCAAAAGTTTTGATGTGATTGAAATGATGGGTGGTGTCGAATTTTCCGTCACCTTGCTACAATGATGAAATTTTTGGTGGGCTCCGAGCTTATAGAAGAAGTTCTAGGCTTTGGATTCATAGGGAAAATGACTCTTGAGGGTAATTAACTTTTGCGTTTGTACTCATTTGGTCCCTTTTCTTTTTTTGTATTCAATATACCATCGAACTTGTTGTTGGTGTTTACCATAGCCCTTTTGACCGGCTTTTGACCTGTGATAGCCGGTCAAAGGGTTATGGTGAACACAAACAACAAGTTCGATGGTATATTGAGTACAAAAAAAAAGGAAAGGGACCAAATGAGAACAAACGCAACAGTTGGTTACCCTCCTGATTCATTTTCTCTTTACTCATTTACAACAAATCCTGCATCATCTCCTACTAATATTAATGACTTTATGAGATTCATTCTTGCTTCTCTTCAAAACATAACCTACGAAAGGACATTATTCATACATGTACAACTTTGTAATGCACTTGAATATTTATTAGGGGAATCTTGACTAAGCAGGCGCATTTCATGACTACATTTACATTTCCAATCAAATGATTTATCGTATCATGGATTCTAGACAAGTCTACAAACGAGTGGAATCACAAGTGATATTATTTTTGAGTTTACTTAGTTTTAAGATCGAACTCATGGGATAAGATAAACATCAATATGTACAATATTATGGTGATGTGTCTACAAAAGCAGCATGATATTGTACATATTGATGTTGTATCTTATCCCATGAGTTCGATCTTAAAGCTAAGTAAACTCCAAAATCACAGCACTTGTGATTCCACTCGTTTGTAGACTTGTCTAGAATCCATGATACGATAAATCATTTTATTGGAAATGTAAATGTAGTCATGAAATGCGCCTGCTTAGTCAAGATTCCCCTAATAAATATTCAAGTGCATTACAAAGTTGTACATGTATGAATAATGTCCTTTCGTAGGTTATGTTTTGAAGAGAAGCAAGAATGAATCTCATAAAGTCATTAATATTAGTAGGAGATGATGTGGGATTTGTTGTAAATGAGTAAAGAGAAAATGAATCAGGAGGGTAACCAACTGTTGCGTTTGTTCTCATTTGGTCCCTTTTCTTTTTTTTGTATTCAATATACCATCGAACTTGTTGTTTGTGTTCATCATAACCCTTTGACCGGCTATCACAGGTCAAAAGCCGGTCAAAAGGGTTATGGTAAACACTAACAACAAGTTCGATGGTATATTGAATACAAAAAAAAAAGGGACCAAATGAGTACAAACACAAAAGTTAATTACCCTCAAGAGTCATTTTCCCGGATTCATAACATCATGCCAAAATGCACTAGAAATTTTGGTTTTTTCTTTATCTCTTATGTATTGAGTGTAGAAAATTGTTAGTTAACACTTTATGAGAGTGTAATTGATTTTGGGAAGGCATAAGAGATTAATCTATTTGATTGGAGCAATTTATTATATAGTGGATATTTTTCTCTCTGAAAGTCCGTGGTTTTTTTTTCTGGTTTTGGAGTTTCCATGTATATTCTATGTCTTGTTATTTTTGTCTATTAATGCTATTTTCCCAACATTGGGGGTTTTATTAATATTTTTTAAGAAACCTTGTGTGTATTTGACTGATTATGTACTCGATGTTCGAGTTTTGATGTGGTGAAAGTTGATGATAATAATAGTGGCGTCCATCATCTCATCAAGTTGTAGGTTGTACGCAATTGTAAGAACGTTTTCCAAAAATTACCCAAACTTTAAAAAAAATTCCTAAAAAGCCACCAGTTTCATAGTGAGCACTGCAAAATGGGCCTTGGCTCGATGAAATCATTTAAGTAATGTTATTGCGATATTTCATAGAACACTTAAAAAGATTATGAAACCAAAAAAAAAACAAATATTATTTACGGAATTTTCATTATGATTTTTTTATAAGAAACTAGTTCATATACCACCAGGAAGCTTCAAAAATCATTTTACAACACAATAATAATGTTTTTAAAAGTAGGTTCGAACTGGTCGGTTGGACCGTAAACCGGAGACGAAAGCGGTTCAATAACAATCGATTTTATGCCAATTTCTAGATTGGGTAGAACTAAAAGATTTCTTCAAAACGCGGTCTGAACCGTTGTGATAAAACTAGTAAAAAGTCATTTGAACCGGTTTATTCAATTTTAATAGTTGGATTTCATTTGGTATGTTATAATACAACTCATTTTTAAAGCAAATTGCAACTTGATCGATCAAGTTATCTGGAGTTACAAAACTCGAAGGCTAATGACACACACCCACTACCGAACATGACTTTAACACACAACAAAAAATTGGCCTGATGATGATCTTTGAAGACTGAGACTTTTTAATTGTTATGTATATGATTTTATAATATAATTCATCATGATAAAGATTTATGTTTGTGGATGTCAAATTCTTGGTTTTATATATATATATATATTATATATATATATATATATATATACACACACACACACACACGTAGAAAAATAAATAATGCATAAAAATTATGAAAATCGAGTTGAACCAATGGTCGTAACGGTTGAACCAAAAACCTGACACGAAACCGGTTCAACTAAAAACTGGTTTTTAAAACATACAAAATAGAGCTTGATATGAAATTTATGTCTTAAATATGAAGTTAAATATGAAGTACCCATTACGTAATGCCAAAACCATGCCATCATGAAATTAATGATATTGGGATTTTCATTAAATTTAGATGTTGCTTATTTTTAAGAAGTAAAAAGTAAGTTTTGTGCGGGTCATATCTGCAAACATTTGTATAAAAAAAAGTGAACTAAATGTTTGCAACTTACGACAAAAATATTTTTTGTTTTCTAAAGTCTGCAAGTTAAAATAAATTGATAAACAAATATACTAACTTTTTTAACTTAAAAATATGTTTTCAACACTGAAATTTCACTAATAATAGTTTCACAACACTAAAAGATAATGCATGCAACTACAATAACATTTTAAAATAAATAAATAAATAAATAACCATTCCATAAATTATAGTAATTTCTAATCAATTTCATTTCGTAACTCGGCTATGTATTCGCGGTCTACTATATTATCGTGTCCTTTAAACTAGTAAGTGTTTCAATGAAAATTTAATTGAACTTATTTATTCGTATCAAAGAGTTAAATAAATAAGAATATAGGCTAAATATCAAAGAATCAATGTGTATACAGGCTTTGAGTAATTTAGTCGGTTATTTAAATGATTAGAAAATATAAAAGCCTAGGTTTTATCATAAAAATAAATAAGGTTCTTTATTATTTTTAATATATTAAATAAAAAGGGAAAATGGTATGGTTGTGTATATATATATATATATATATATATATATATATATATATATATATATATATATATATATATATATATATATATATATATTACTTATTATGCAAATTTGGTCAAATGTTGAAAATTAAGAGGTACAAACCATTCGTGTATCATGTACAATGACTTTATGCATTAAAAGAATACTGAATCTTATCCGGTCAACATTTATGAAAAAGTCAAATAAGATGATGATAAGATTTTGAATTGGTCAAAGTTTGATCAAGTGTTCCTCATATTCAATTGAATCGGTAAATACTAAATTTTATCCGGTCAACATTTATGAAAAAGTCAAATAAGATGATGATAAAATTTTGAATGGGTCAAACATTGACCAAGTGTTCCTCATATCCAATTGAATCGGTAAATACTGAATTTTATCCGGTCAACATTAATGAAAAAGTCAAATAAGATGATGATAAGATTTTGAATGGGTCAAAGTTTTACTAAGTGTTCTTCATATCCATTTGAATTGGTCTAATACAATGTACACGTTATAAAGCATTTCATATAAACTGGAAGAGGCATATTGATCTAGCATTCGTCTATGCCTAGCCATTAACCGCAAAACCTTGGTTCTCTCTCATGCTCGTTGTCTCCTCCTTTGGTTTTTCTTTCTACTAAAATCGAATGAGCCAAAAATATCTTACGTTTAATCCTAGCTCAGGTATAAGAAATCTCTATATATTCGTCATTTTGTTTAACAAATTTTTTATGTTATTTTGTTGATCCGCACCCGTCGCTTTGCGCGGGTAAACGGCTAATGTTTGTGTGTGTATGTGTGTGTGTGTGTATATATATATATATATATATATATATATATATATATATATATATATATATATAGGGAAATGATCAAATGAGAACACCAAAAAGGTTGAGAATGCTAGAACAAGTATGAACCAATCATTCTATAAGGGCATAAAAAGAATTTTACACTATATCTAATTCCGGATGATTAATTAATTCCTAAAATCATGGAATTTAATCTGATTAATAGATTTTTTTACCCAAATAGTAGGAATTTGTATAATCTATTTTTAATTAACAAAATCAATAAAATGATTTTAAAATACGTTTTTACCATAATTTAAAAAAAAACGTTTTTTTTAAGTTTATTTTTACCAACAACATCAAAAATACTGACGCGTTAATCATTTTATCTGAATATTTGTAATCATACATGAATAAAATATATTTGTAATCATATATGAACCTGGTAATAATCTTGAATGAATAGATGGGTTAAGTTATATTCATAAATGAATAAAACACAAATGAATGAACACAGATAAATATGGATTGCTTTTGAAAAGAAAACATTAAATACACATTTAATCACTAATGAATACACTTCAGTCAGTAATGAATATACATCTAATCTTATGAATACATTTGAATACACATTTAATCACTAATGAATACACTTCAATCTGTAATGAATATACATCTAATCTTATGAATACATTTGAATACACATGTTCTTGCTCTTTTGTTGGACCTGCATGAAATTTGGAAAGCAAAGACATAGCCAAACTCTGTTCATCACCATCACCATTTGTTTCATAGAAGCATGAGATATGTGGTAGACTTCTCTTCATTCGGTTCTTCAAGAATATTACTCAAAACAAAAGCCTAATCATCTGGGCCTTTTTCTAGAATTCGATTTTTGGAGACAAACAAAAAAAATCAGAAATAGTTACAACACAATTATTTTTCTATAGAGGTTAAATCAAAATAAAATCGAATTGGAACATCGGGAATCAGTGAAAAAGGTGCGAAGGAGGAAAATTACCAATCGTGATTTTTGCAGTCATTCTTCAAGCCCTGAATCGGGATTGCAAGTCCTGAGGCTTACGAGAAATCGAGGCGGTCTCTTGGCCTTCGATGAAATTGGCGATGGTGGAAGTCAAGGGGCAGAGAGTGTGAAGGCTCACCAGCGACGACAGCAATTGGGCGACATGAATGGAAGAAAGGCTCACATCGCAGGTGTGTTGTCCGATATTCAGGATGTTGTGTCCAATTGCGATCGTCTCCGGGGTTCGAAGAGGTTGAAGAGACAGAGTGAAGAGGGGAAGGAAGGGGGTCGATTATACGACGACCCTTGTGGCTTAATCGTCGTCATCAGCAGCGCACAAATGGGGGAAAGAGCAAACAACAAAAAATCAACATTTGGGGTGAAATCAGGAAGCATCATCGTTCGATGTAGATGGTTCATCTTTCGAGCAAGGGAAAAGGAAAACGGAAGTAGTTGGGATCGCCTGTGTGATTCGGATGTGTAATGAAGGTGTCAATTGTATGTTGTATGAAATTAGGTCAACCGAATAGAGAGGCAGGGAGTAATTATAGGAGTTTACAAAATTAGGGTAATGTTTATTTACCTGAATACCCTTTATAATTTTCTTTAATTTGAAATTTAGATTTTAAATGTATTAATAATTAGAAAAATAACAATTAAATATAGCCACACATCTTAAAAATTAAATGATCCAGATTTGTTCTCGCGTTCTCAACCTTTTAGATGTTCTCATTTGATCCTACTCCAATATATATATATATATATATATATATATATATATATATATATATATATATATATATATATATATATATATATATGGCTAGGTTTAGGTGTTTCTAGCATCTATTGTGTGCTCGTACGCACAATAGGGCTAGGTTTAAGTGTTTCTAGCATCTATTTTGTGCTCGTACGCACAAATCTGGATCAACGAATGGAATAAATCAATGGTCATGATTTGAGGGTGTAGGATATTACAATAGGATAAGATGTACCGTATAATCATACAAATTTCAACGTAAGGGTATTTTAGTCAATTAACCTATATTAAAACTGGAAAATTTAAGATTTTTAGGGATAATTAATTTTCTTAATTTTAAAAATTTGGATTTTTTAAATTAATTCAATTTTTATTCTAACATGATTTTTTAAAATAAATCGAATTTATTCTGATAGAATGTCAGCCATAAACTAGTAACGATATTTCTGATTTTATTCTTACAAAATATAGTTCCAATTCAGATATTTTTGATAATTAACCATACTTAAGAGCTCTACATATTCTTCATATATTCGAACTTAAATACAAATTCATACATATTCTTATAGACTAATAGCCTTATACAATTTAATATAGTTATATAGATTCTAATAGAATATCGTCAAAAATGAGTAAATTTCTTAAGAAATAAAACTCTTAGATATACAATTATTGAACAAAATCACTTGATCTTCTTCAATGGTCCAAATAATCCACTTGATTCCAACTATTCTTACGAAAATGTGATGTATTATCGTAAGAATGTAATTTTTCGCAAATATACTTGCTATTGAATTTGATTCCAAGTCTTTCTCTTGTATGATTAATATTTGGTTCTTTCTTCAAGCCATTCTGAAATAATAACATACATTACTTGTTAGTATTACCAATTAAGCAAATATCCTTGTTATTAACAAACATTCATAAAGTCATTCTGATAGAATGTATTTATACAAATAAATTCTGACAGAATACAATACAGAATATTCTATAAGAATACATATACTTTATTTTAACAGGATATTACTTAGAGTCTAATAGTTATCAAAAGATATGTTTATTCTGCAAGAATGATATCGTAAATATTCTCCCAGAATGGTTTTGATTATTCTTGAAGAGTATGAAAGTAATTCAAAGAAATAAAACTAAATCATCATGTTTATGGAATAACTAACCATAAGTAAAGCTAAAATAGAGAAAATAAAGACCTCATTGGACCAACACAAACCATATTAACAAAACAACATTTGCTAATTTTCAAATGGATATAAAGACTTATCGGTGGACATCATGTGTAAATGAAAGGATGAAATATTTGGTTCAAGCATTTTAACAAACAATTGGTGGGCAAAATCAGATGTCGATTTAGTTTGAAGCTAGATGCTAGTTTAGGGAACAAGAAAATCAAAGTTTTATGTTAATCCAGTCTTTTAAAAAAGAAATCTTAGAAATTCGAGTTTTGGGACTATAACCGAATAAGACTTCGCCAATTAAGAAGCATTAACAATCCTTAAACTAACTGGGAAAGGAACAGACATGTGGAATTAATCAACTTATGCTAGTCGATGCTCAAGATCGATTACAAATCCTTCTTAATGATCTTGATATATATTCATACGCACAGAAATACACCTTTATACCTCGTCTTTAGTTCTTTGTGCCCTCATTCTTGCATCGAGTTAAAGAAGAGGGGTAGGTTCCTCGGTTTTTTTGCTTTGCGAGGTCACTGGTGTTTGCAACAATCTCCCTGTTCATTAGACAAAAAATCAAACATGATGGAGGTGAGTGATGGGAATGACTAGCGGAGGACCGGCGGTAATGATTGTCACTGAGATTTTATGGTCGGCAATTAAAGGATGTAGGGTTGTGGTCGAAGTCGGCGTTTTTCTGGTGATGCTAATGAACGAGACGTCTAATTAAACTAACAAATTCACCCAATTTAAAGGATATTAAATGTTTTAAATATTTACCATAATTAGGTATAGCCAAGATTACTATTATACCCTTTTATGATTTATTATTGAACCTATTTTTATTTTATTATGATTGGTTGTTAGAGAGAGAGAGAGAGTTAGATTCTTTTGTGAACCAAAAAATTTGTGAGAACTTACGAACTCATAATCAACTCATCATTTTTCAATACAAAAAACACCAATCTTTTTCAAATGGTACGTCTAAGTCATATCTAGGCTAAAAAAAAGATTTGATGAATGTTTTTATTTTTAATTTTTTTGATTTTTTTGTATGACTACTGGTGAGCACAATCAGCAGTTGTACGGACTGCTGATTGTGCTCGTTAATAGTCCGTACAACTGCTGATTGTCCATAAATGCAAATTTCGAAAATAAAAAAATTAATTGTCAAAAAAAATTTAGCCTAGATATGACTTAGACGCACCATTTGGAGAAGATTGATGTTTTTGATGTTGAAAAATGATGAGTAAATTATGAGTTTGTAGGTTCTCACAAATCTTTTGGTTCACACAATAACTTAGCCATATATATATATATATATATATATATATATATATATATATATATATATATATATATATATATATATATATATACACACACACACACACAAACACACACACACACGTTAGTGGCGTACCCGCGCAGTACAACAGTCGAGGATTAGAGGCGGTGGATATATTTCTTCTCGACGAATGGTTATGTACTAACGTAACGCAACATGCGACATGTGGCACTTAGTATGTTGTTTTGGTTAAAAATAGAAGTATGTTGCGGGTTTGGTTAAAAATAAATCTATAATGGTGTTTTGGTTTAAACATATAAGTATGTTGTTGTTTTGGGTTAAAAATGAAGGTATTAAGTTATTTTTGGATAAAGTTATGTGTCTTGTTATTTTTGTTTAAAAAATACGTTTTTCTTAATTTTAAATATAATTTTTTTGTTATTTTATATTAAAAATAACAGTATGTTATGGTTTTGGTTTAAATAAATAAATATGTTGTTGTCTTAAGTTCGGTTGTATATGTAAACCATGACTCCTCACTTGTTAGAGGTTTGATTGTCTTTTATTGGAGATTTGGCCTAGCTGGGTTCCTCACTTGGGTTGTCTTCTATTAGAGATCTAGTTGGAGTATGGCAAGAGATAATCAAATAAGGAAATAGACGAGGAGTAAGAGAGGGAGTGATTCACGGTTTTGGTGTGTATCGTGAAAAAATAAGGTTCTTAAGAGATGACTGGAGGGTGGGGTTATGGTTAATGGGATTAAATTACTATAACTATAATTTAAATATAAATTCAACAATAAATATTTATAAAAACATAAATGTCGCAATACGTTAATCATAGTCAACATTGGGACTATAAATACATACCTCAATAAAGACAAAAATTAAAACAATAGATAATCTAGGACTAAAACTAAAGGTCCTATTAGTTGGACTTCAGATTTTTTTTAAATGATCTTCTCATTATTCCTTTCGTCCCAAAATTATTGTCGATCTTACTATTTTAGTTTGTTCCAAAAGTTATTGTCCACCACCAAAAGTAAAGACAAAACTAATGATTGCTTTTCTTAATCTATATGGTTTTTGTCTGTGAACAATAATTTTGGGACAGAGAAGTATTAGTTTTTAGGTATAAATATATTTTTTTCTATTCCCACAGTCAAAGTTAAATTTCCAAGAAGTCATACTCATTAATTAAAAGTAATAAACATACAATTAAAAACAAAAGTTAAATGTTAATAAAAAAGAAGGAACCTATGCGTTTATCATATTATAAAAATAATATTATTTTTATCATCATTTTTATCATATTATAAAAATAATATTATTGTTTTAATATTTAAAATTTAAAAAGAAAAAGATTTATTTGGATGTTCACTGTCTAATACACACACTCACATCGTCGGAAAACACGATCTGAAAATACACAAGCATACATCAATCTGAAATGAAAATCCAGACACACACCAAAAAATCTCATTCTTCCCACCGCTAGAAACTGCCGGGAAAATAAAGAGAGAATGAGCAAGAAAGAGGTGGTGAGTCAACAGTTGGGGTTGCCGACAACGGCGGCGAATGGGTGGCTTCCATGGTCCGACAAGGCAACGACACACACCAAAAAATTCAATTGTACCACTAGAATTTTATGTACGAATATATTTGAATTATTTTTATGTACAAATACATTGAATTATTTTGATATGTATTTACATTGGAAATTTATTTACTATTATTATGTCGTATTTGAAGTCATTATTATTATACTTTCATATAAAAATTATTTTAATAAATTGCATATAAAAACAGAAAAATAATTAAATTTTTTTATTTAAAATATTTATTTTATAGATTTGAAAAAAATAAATATATTTTTATTTTAATACGTTTTTATAAAAATGATATTTTTTTTTCTATAAACAAATCTTTATATTAAACCATTTTATTATGGAATGATTAGTTTTATTTAAAGTAAAAATGTAAAGTAATCATGAGGGGTATAATTTTATGTAATGATAGTTAATAAAAAGATAATTATTTTGTAATGATTAGTTTATTTTAGAAAATATGTTAGAGTAATTATTAGAGGATCCTTTAAAAATCTAAAAGGGTTCAATAGCTGGACCCAAACTAAAACAAAAGATTTTTTGGACAAAAAATAAGAAAAATCGGCCATACTCAGAGGACCAAAAATGTAATTAACTATCATCTTTTATTGAAATGGTAATTAATAGTTAAATATCTACA